GCAGCCCCGCAGCTGCAGCGGCAGCGTCCCCGCGGCTCTCGCCGTGTTCCTCGGCTTGTTGAGCGTTCTTCACGCGGGGAGCTGTGACGAGCAGGTGCCGCTGATCCTGTGGACGAGTGAAGGGTGAGGAAGGGACAAGGAGCGCGGTTAGCCGCTGTAGCTAACGGTTAGCCGCTGTAGCTAACGGTTAGCCGCTGTAGCTAACGGTTAGCCGCTGCAGCTAGCCTGCAGCTCTGCTCCAGATAAACACAGACTCTGTTTCATGATGAGGATAATTGCACTTAAATTACTGATAATAATTATTTAACACGTCATCAAACATCAGCTGAGAACTCAGCAGTGATCGTAATGATTGACAGGTGTCATGTCACCTGAGATCTGACCCTAACCCCCCCCCCCCCCCCCCCCCCCCCCCCACTAACCTTCCACCTGATTTTAAGACACGAGCTCATTTAACTGACAACAAGCTCGACAAGTGATTCTTCGTTTAATAAGATTTGTTCAAGAAAAAAAGGCAAATCAGAAAACAGCTCATGTCAGAATACTGTGACCTCTGAAGCTCAGGAAACGTGGGACACACTGTTTATTGTTGAAAGACCTTTTTTCCTCCAGGATCTCTTCTCCACGTCAGTCCCCTCCCACCGCCGGTCACATCGTCGGGCAGCAGCAGCTCGCCACCTACCTGGAGAACGCTCTGAATGTGGGGCCGAGAAACGTCGTGCTGTTCCTACAGGACAAGGTACAGACACACATGCGTTTCTCTTTCTATAGCTGAGAGGACAATCATGTCCTCCACCCAGTTTCTGTGTCTTGAGCTGAAGTCCAGATTTGTGAAATGTTCTGGAGTGGATGAAAATTCACAGCTAGCGAGACGGCGTGTTGATGAAGTTTCTAACATGTCACGGCCGTGAATCTGTAAAAGAATACAAATATCTTAACATTAAAAAAGAGGATATGATCATCCCCCTCTCCTCGTCTTTCTCTCCAGATGAGTGTAGAGGACTTCACCATGTACGGAGGAGCGTTTGGAAACAAGCAGGACAGTGTTTTTCCCAACCTCGAGGTAGGATGATGATGATGATGATGATCTTTTATACTCATCATCGCTTCTTCCTGTTTGCTGCTATGTAATTAAGTTGGAAGAAACTAATCATGAAAGTTTCCATGTTGTCATTCCTGTGTTATTGTGGAAAGAAAACGTTCTTCACTGGTTTTGTGTCTCCTGTGTCTCAGGGGGCTCTGATGTCCTCGTCCTCCCCGCTGGTGTTACCTGCCGTGTCCTGGCCGGCCTCTAATGCAGTGATCGGCCAGCTCCAGGACCAATTGGAAACCTCCCCTCTGTACATGGACCCTGAGACACTGAGTCAGCTGAGACTCAACGCCTCCTCGCCAGCCCTGCTGGTGTTCAGGCTGCCCTATGGCGTCGGGTAGGTGTTGTTTTATTTTCTTCCAGTAACTTGTCAACTTAAGATTTTCAGAGACATAAAGAATAAATGTAACTTTCTCAAATATTGATCTGGTGGTGAAGTTGTGCTTGATGAAGTTTTGTGTTTTTTCCTGAACACAATAAAGTTATTTCACCTGAATGAATGACATAGAATTCATATTTTATTTATTTAACTGGTGTATTAAATTCTCTCTTCGTCAGTGTCTCACTGTTTCCTCGTCTGACTTTCTCTCAGGGCTGATCTGATGTCTGCTAAAGAAATTCTCAGTGGAAACGGTGAGTCTCCCAAACAGCCTGAACGACGCTGTCCGAGCGTTTCTCTGCATCATCAGCATGTTTCTGTTCCAGCTGCTGTAATGTTGTGGAATCATTGTTTGCTCAGAGGTTGAGTCTGTTGTTCATTGTGAATCTGTGAATCATTGTTTTCTATAGAAAAACCTTGATGTTTTGTTTCTGCTTCCTGATTTGCTCGTTAATGTGGATGGGTGCACATCTTTCAGACGAGGTGATTGGTCAGGTGTTGAGCATCATGAAGACCCAGTCTGTTCCATACACAGCCATCTACACGGCCCTGCGACCCTCAAGGGTGAGTGAAGTGTTCTGTTTGGTTTCACCATCTTTTTTCTGCTCTAATGTTTTTGATTCATTCATTTCCTTTTGTTTCCCTTAAAATCTTCATTTTGATCTTGTGAAGTCTCCTGTAACGTTCTGCATTGATAAAGTTTATAGTTATTAATTCACGTTTGGTATTTTACGTCTGTGCAGGAGGCAGCGTCTCTCTCCATGGAGGCCGGCGTTGGTGGAGGACGCTCGCTGCTGCAGGCCAGAGGAGGACACAGGGAGAGGGATAGAGAGAGGGAGAGGCAGCGGAGGATAAAGGAGAAGGCTGGGATCTATGCTCCAGTGGAGTTTAAGGTGGAATGTCTTGGTTACATCTTTTCTTTTGGTGTTTGATTTCTTGGGTTTTCTCTAAGTCTGGAGATGTTTTATTTTTCTTGACCAGTCACATAAATGGGCCGAAGCTAACGAAGAATCCATCTGTGAATGAGAGTTTGTTTCCAGAGCAGTTCCCTCTGACCTCTGTCTCTTTTCTTCAGGAGGGGGACGACACCTGTATCCTGCTGTGGGCTAAAGGCCTCTCGGTGAGCATCCTGCGGAGCGGAAGCTGGGAGGAACACGACCTGACCTCGTCCACCTTCGGAGAGGGAGTCAGCCCAAAACTCCACGGCTCGAGCTGCGACAAAACCAGAGCAAAGTAAAAACCATACAAACAAACTTTATTATTAACTATAAAGAAAATACAACCAAATAAACTTGAGTGAAGAAAACGATCTGCAGATGAATCACTGATGAAGATAAGTGTTTGTAAATCTGTTTTTTATTTTCCAGGTTGGTTCTCAGTTATGAGAACGTCCTCGGCCACCGCAGCTTTAAACTCATGTGAGTTTGCAGAAGTTTTTATTTTATCTGTATTTTAAAAAATAGAAAGAATTCTAAAGGACACGGACAAAAGCAGGGACACGTGTCGCCGTCTCCTCCTGAAAGCTTTAACAATAACTACATGTGTGTGTCCAGCTTCGCTATGAGCCAGCGCCACTACAAGGTGTCCGCACGCCGCTGGTTCACACTGGACGCTGTGGAGCTGGAGTACGACGGGACCAAAGCCACATTCAACGGCAGCAGAAACGTCTACGCCCCCGCTGAGTACTCATACCGCTGCGAGTCCGTCACCAGCTTCCGTTGGCCGCTGCTCGTCCCGCGCTCATCCAAAGATCCAGCCAATCAGTGGAGGGTCTCTTTTGAAGACCTCCAGGTAAGATGGTGACACTTTCATCTCCAGTGATGTTATATTTCTGAACTGTACACCTCATACTTCTATGGATTATACTTTACTCTCCCCCTCCACAGATTCAGGGCTTTAACGTTACCGGCAGTGAATTCTCGTACGCCAGCGACTGCGCCGGCTTCTTCTCTCCTGGGATCTGGATGGGCCTGATGACCAGTCTGCTCATGGTCCTGGTTCTCACCTACGGTCTGCACATGATTATGCAGCTCCACACGATGGACCGCTTCGATGACCCCAAGGGCCCGGCCATCTCCGTCCCCCAAACAGAGTGACGTCCGTCCTCCCTCCTGTCCCCTCTCTCACTGTAATGCTTCCTCTCCTCCCTTTACATTCCTCTCCACCTCCATCTGTAGTTGGGCATTACACAGCATTAGTGAAGTTGTCAGAATAAGAGTTTACTCATCATACATGTTTTAAAATGTGCGTCCTCAGTTTCCAGGCGGTTGATGTTCGAGTTTCTCTGAAAGATAAAAACCTGGAGGATCGTCTGAGACGCACCTGAATTCAAAACATTTTCAGTTTGCTTCATCTGTTCAAGTGTTTGAACCAGTTCAACGGGAATCAAGTTAAAAATCTCTTTTGCTCCTGAATATGTTCCGTGTTGATTCTGGAAACATCTTCAGAGCCGTGGAACATTTGTTTATCCTCCAGAGAAACTTGAACACATGAGGTTTCAAACCTCCGTGGATCAATGTGTCCGACATGAAAAGGGAAACAACTGTACATAAAGGGTCAAAAATAACTTATAAAAGTGAAAAGTACTATGAAATGCTATTTATTGACGAGACTACCGTCGTTTGTGTGTGTTTACAATTGTGTCTGTGAGTAGACGAGTGAACCGTAGGTATCGAATGAAGGGAAACATGATCCGGGCAGATGATCGATCAATAACATCCATTAGATTCCATTAAGTTCAGGTCAAAGGGAGATTTTGACCAATAAGATTATTTTATTATTTATTGAAGAACGACACAGTCAAACATTTCCAGGTGTTTGTGAATAATCCTCGTGGTTTTCTTACTTTGACTTTTTATAGTCCAACTCACGACTGCACTGAAATATGATAAATGTGAACTTGTTATTTATTTTGTGTTGATTTGTGGTGAACATTAACGATGTGATGTTCTGAGTGTGGTCCTGTGTCGTGCTGCTGCTGTGACCCCAATAAAACGTGTGAAAACAGGTTGAGCTTCAGCTTCAGCTTCACCAACCAGTGCAGAGTCGACCTTTTACTTCCTGACTCGTATGAGGTCACTGTGACTGTAAAGTAACCAACTTATGTTTTCTACGTTCTCAGGCTTCTATAGAATCTGGATCTATAATCATTGAGTAAAACTTGGCCCAAAACTGTAGAATAACAATATTGATATGAATCAATTCCAATGGAAGTTTGAAGGATTGAGATCAGATCCCAGCAGTTAGCCTGGTCCTCACCAGAACATAACCCAGCCCAAACCTAAATCCTGTTCATTTTATATTTGACGTGTGAAAACACTGGAGCACAACAACACTCAGCACCAACAATAGTGACACACACACACACACACAATCAGAAGTGTGGCAGTAAACAACCAACATTGACTTTAATGTTCAAACTAAGTGTCTGTCAAGTTTTGTGAAATATTTCTCGACACTAATCAACGACTCGTCAGTATCGAAGGTTTCCAGTTGAGCCTGACTCGGCCTCAGCGCCTCTTTAATCCAGATTCAGGATCCCAGCAGGAAGAACCCGGACGCCCCAGTAAACCCTCTTCACCCTGCGGAGCCTGGCGTCCTGCACGTCACAGAGGTAAGTTCCTGAAAGTATAATATCACTGTAGCAGGAAAAATAACTTACAACCTATTTCTTTGTCTCCTAACTTCCTTTGTCTTGTCGGTGACAGTGAGCAGCTGTGGTTCACACATTTCACTCTGTGAATATTTGATCAGTATTTAAATCACAGAGGACAAAGACAGAATCAGAACATTTTCTTTTCATCGACACAAAATGTTTTTTTAAATCCACTTTTACTTCAGTCACAGAACTGAGATGTGTTTGGATTCTGTCCCCTGCTGAGTCTAACTCTGGTTAATGGGACATGTGTGTGTGTGTGTGTTTGTGTGTGTACACGTGCACAGGTGTGTGTACCTGCGTCCTCCTCTCGGACCGGGTCCAGAACCACGCGGTCCAGCTGAGGAGCTTCCCAGCGAGCAAACAGAGAGTCGTCAGAGGTGATGATCCCTCGAGCGTAACGCCACGAAACCCTGGTCACATGAAAACTTTCACTAAATGGATTTTATCATCACTTGTTCTTCCACATTTAATAAAATACAAAACTTTGACAGGGTCATGGATCATTTCTGACATTAAAGCTGTGTGTGAGTGTGTGTGTGAAATCTTGGTTTCAAATATAAATATGAAGTATTTCTGTTTCATTTGAAACAAACAATAGAATAAAGGTTAAATAGTGTAAAACTCTAGATTGTGTCTGAACTCTCTCCTCCTCTCTCACCTCCACGAGAACGTCCCCATCGCCTCCATCACTTCTCCCAGACAGTCGAGCTCCAGCCTCCGTCCTGAGGTCACTGTCATCGTGGTGAGGCCGCACTTCCACGACTCCTGACACTTCACCTTGTGGACACGACACACCTCCGACACCTTGTTATCAGTCACATCATGAGAGTTAGAGTCTGAGCTGCTCTCTCGTGTTCGTTCGTCTCTCGTGTCTCTGTTACCTCCGTCCCTTCTCCGGCCTCCTCCATCTCTGCCCTGCTGTGTTTCATCAAACACAGGGTTTGAGTTCTGAGCCCCAGCCCACAGGTGGAGCTGCAGGGGGAGCTGTCGACGATGACCTCCACTGGCACCTCCTCCACCTCCTCCAGCTCAGCTGGGCCCAGAGGATAGAGGAGGAGGAGGAGGAGGAAGAGGAGAGGACGACGAAGGCCTTTAGATGCACAAAGCATTTCAAAGTCTGATGTTGAACCTGCAGAAAAGAAGAACGTCTTTAAAGAGTCAGCTGCTGTTATTATAAATGATGTTTTCATTAAATCCCAGTTTTACACAGTGTTGATGAAATTAGTTTTGTTCATGAGTTTTTACTCAGCGGGAGAAAGAACCATGATGATGACGAGATAAAAAACCTCCATGGATCTGAGATGAACTGTTCATTTAGTTGAGTGCAAGCGATTTGTTTTATTCACAACCTGTTTTATTTTCCAGAAATCTTTGAGATACGACTCAAATTTACAGATCCAGTTAAATGAGAGACAGAAAAACACTGAAGTAATAAAACTACTTCACAATTTACCTCAATGAAACCTTAGAACCTTTAGAGGATCCCAGATGATCACAATGAAGAGGAAGTTGACTTAAATACAGTTATGAGACATGACAGTTAAAAAACATGGACCACAATTTCAAATCAAATGGATATAGGAAAAGGATATATAAAACAATTACATTTGGAAGTTGGAAGGTTTTAGACCAAATTTTTAAGTTATCAAATGCAGAAGTGGATTTGATTTAAGGGAGGATGTGTTTTTTCTTCAAAGTTCAGAACAAACTTGTGGGACACGAAGTGAAAGTCGTTGAGCAGGTGAGATCATGTCATCTGACTGAGGGATGATCTGGACGTTCTCCGGTCAGAGCTTCAGAGTGAAATATAAAGAGAATCACAACTGATGGTTACATCAGCGTCAGTGATTCAAACTGAATCACTGTGATTAATATAAATCACATCACTGTGTTCAGGACTTATCTTCCTGAAGATCACTCAACAACTCTCAGTGGTTTTCAGTTTCCCCTCAACACAGTGACTCTGACTGACACAGGATCTGTCTTCCGTCTGACACCTGCTGCACACACATCACCTCTCAGGATCCTTCGCTGCCGCCGGGTTCGAAGGTCGAGCTGCTCCCAAAGTTCAAATCCACGGAACCGAAGCTGCTGCTGCTGCTCAGTCTGATGCTGACTGGGATGTTCAGTTGCATGTTGTCATGACAACATGTTCCTGCACCCTGTGGGTTCAACTGCTGTGAACTGATCAGTTATTATTCCTCTGTAGTTGTCGAAATCTAAAATACTTAAATATACATAGAATTAAACTTTAATTTTTAGTTTGAAACACAATAGAAAACACAGTAAATAACAACATGCAATAACAAAATGAATTCAATGTATAAATTACAGTTGTAAAGCCGAGTATTGTTAAGAGAATAAAAGCTTATCGTTGTAAACGTTGATATCTTGATTGATAAATTCCAGATGGAATAAGGTCGTGATCGTGATCCACTGATCAGAATCTCTTTTTTTATGAATCATTACCTGTTTTATTTTGGTAGTCTTTAGCTTGTGTTTGTCTGTCTACTTCCTGTTGTCGTCCAGTTATCCATGCAAACATGTGGGAGTGTGTGTGTTGTGAGTGTGTGTGTTCATTGTGAGTGTGTGTGTGTGTTGTGTGTGTTTGAACATCCATGTATGTTTTCCTGTCTCTGAGTCTCAGCTTCTATTTTTGTCAGTGAGTCAGTGACTCTGTGAGTCAATCATTCACATTCACCAACACACACACACACACACACACACACACACACACACACTGTGAGTCAATCATTCACCTCCATCCTGACGAGAGGAAATGCTGCACGGAGGATGGATGTGACATCTGAAGGATCTAACCACAGAATCAATGTCTCACTCACGATCTCACAGTCGTGACAAAGAACTCAGACGTCTCCGACTTTGACAACGTACAAACTGGGGTTTAGCAGATGTCCCGTGTACGGAGGTTTGAATCCCTCCGTGGCCCCGTCCTCCTCCGCTCTCCCTCCTTTCACACCTTCTGTCTGCTCCATCAATAAAAACCAACAACATCTTATTTAACGCACAAACTAGAAGCAACATAATTAAAGAGGTGTGTGTTGGTCGGTGTAACTCAGGACCCGTCCACCAACGTTCCTTCAGTTCCCCCTTGCTGCCATGTGGGGGCACTAGTGATGTTTTAATGAACCTCCTGGAATAAATAAAGATGAATTTACTGAATCAACATTTATAAAAAAAAAAACTTTACCACTGTATATTTAGATTCTTCACAGAAACAGAAAGAAGAGAAATGGTCACGTCTTTATCTGGACATCAGAATAAAGACGAGGCCTCAGCCTGGCTCCAGCTGCTCTCTGTTCCCGGCCTCGTGCTGACGTTGGGAGGAGGAGGAGGAGGAGGAGGAGGAGGAGGAGGAGGAGGCAGACTGAGCTGTCGTCCCTTGAAAGAGACAAACTGTGACTCTGATGAAATATTTAACTTCATTGTTACTATAACGACTGAACGACTCACACACTCAGGTGTAAGATGGATGAAAGTAAAATAATAAATCATTGCCACTAGTTATTAATTCTTTGCTTCTTTTTATGTTTAGTTCCCCGTCAGGGAGAGTTCATTTTATTTCTAGATGAAGCACAACTCAGTTATTATTACTCAGATGTAAGTTTTTACTTTACTGTTATCTGCTGCAGGGGGACGCAGAGTTTCCCACAAACAGCAACACTCCGTCATTAAATAAAACCTTGAATGCTTGAACCAACACTGACTAAACAATTTGCAGATGATTTCCAGAAGTGACGTCCAAACTCCAGGAGGCCTTGAGACAAGACGTCAACTCCTTGGAGCAGACGACTGCATCACAGAACGTTCTGGACGTTTTCACGTCCGATGACCACGTCAATGAAAGCGAACCCAGACTGTTCCCGGCCTCTGGCAGTATTTATCTCTTGTTGTCGTCTGTTCCCTCAGTGACTCTTCTCTCAGCGTTTGTTGCACAACATGAGAAACAAGTGTTGAAGGCAGCGTCTGCTCTGTTGAGTGGGTGAGGGATGAAAAGCATCAGTGGTGATTGACGGTGATCATTCGCTGAGGTTGACGTTTCGAGAAGTCGCCGACTGATAACATGTCGTTCATGTGACGCAGCCATGAGAGTCGATCAGGGAGTCACACAGACAGAAGAAAGGAAATCAAGCGTCTCTCTCTCTTTCTCTCTATCATCCATCCATCTGTCCTTTCAGATTTACTCGTCAGATGTTTCAGCACGTCTTCAGCGAAGCCGTTGGCCCCAGATCAAACTTGTTGGAATCCTTTTCTTCGGTCCATCGATGATCTGGTTGACCAGACGTGACGAGTGGTTCGGTCCCACTTCTTCTTTCTCCAGTCGCCCAGAGCAGCTTCTCTTCAGCACCTTCAGCGTCACCACGTGGACCAGAACCTGGACCAGAACCTGGACCTGCTTCTGGTTCTGGTCCTCGACGGACGTTCACTGAAATCTTGAGGTTGACGACATCTTTCTGTTCGTCATCATACAACGTTCTTCTGTCGGCATTTTGAACTGTGTCATATATTTAAACACATTTTAAAAGAACAACTCGTTGAATTCATGTGTGAACTGTTGTTTTGTAACGTCTCAAGCTTAATGTGATGAAAACTGAATGATCTACTGGTTGTCTTTGTTTTGATGGATGACATGTTGAACCTTTTCTTCTTCTCCTTCTTCTTCGTGTCTCTGCTCTGGGCCTCAGGTGAGTCTTCATCAACTTCCTTGTTTCCACGCTTGCTAAACGTGACCCGGCATAGACACCTGACCACAGACTGACCAATGGGGGAGCAGGACTGGAAACGCGTCACCGTTCACGTTCAGCTGGAGACGACTGCTGCGTTCACGTTCTGTGGGAAAATAGAAAACTTCCAGCTTTCAAACATATCTTTGTCATTTTTTTTTTAAATTGAAACACGAATTTTAACACATACACGAGGTACACACAGAGCAATAAAAAGACAAAGGTGTAAACACACAATTTATAAATACATTCATTTGGAAAAGGAAACAATAGGCACAACTGGTATGTTCACCAGACTGTGGATCAGTTCGTAAATCTCATGTAAACACTTATTTGTTAGATTAACAGTTTGAATGTATATAGTTTTAATGTGAGTTATGTTCAGATATTAATTCCCAACAGAGAAGGACTCAGTGGAAAATCCTCATCCAGTCAAGTCGCTTGTTATTTCTTCGCCTTTTATTTTATCGCATTTTTCCCGCAGGTCTGTGAACGCGTCGTGAGAGTGGAACACTGATTTGGCGCATGCGCACTGAGCCGAACTCTTATGAAACTAAGTAGAGCAGCAGCCGGAGACAAACACCGGAGACAGACACCGGACAGACACCGGACACACACCGGAGACCCACACCGACCTGCCGACCTGCACTCAGCCGGGAGATGCGTCTGTCCCTGGGCCTGACATAGACTTCAGCTCCGGGAGGCAGCTCCAGGTGAGAAGCGTCTCTCTGCTCAGAACAGCTCGGTTGTATAAGCGTCGCTCCGCTGACCTCGATTCTCGTGTTGGCTCTTTACCTCCACTGACACGTCCAGGTTCGATCCCAGCTTCAGGTGTTGGCTCTTTACCTCCACTGACACGTCCAGGTTCGATCCCAGCTTCAGGCAGCTGCTGTTTGTCTTCAGCTGGTTCTTCTTGATCTCTGCTCTGAGGGAGCTCCATGTTCTCAGCTTCATTCAGAAGATCTGACCTCATTTCATCTTCAGCCTGTTTGTTCCACTGAGGAGCAGCTGACCTCCTGAGAGTCATGTTCACATGTTCACATGTTCCTCATGTTCACATGTGAACATGTTCTCAGCTTCACATGTTCCTCATGTTTACATGTTCCTCATGTTTACATGTTCCTCATGTTTACATGTTCCTCATGTTCACATGTTCCTCATGTTTACATGTTCCTCATGTTTACATGTTCACATGTTCCTCATGTTTACATGTTCACATGTTCCTCATGTTCCTCATGTTTACATGTTCACATGTTTACATGTTCCTCATGTTCACATGTTCCTCATGTTTACATGTTCCTCATGTTCCTCATGTTCACATGTTCCTCATGTTCACATGTTCCTCATGTTCACATGTTTACATGTTTACATGTTCTTCATGTTTACATGTTCCTCATGTTCACATGTTCCTCATCTTCATCATGTTCCACAGACCTATTAATTGTAACTGACATTGTCCTGATAGCAGTGTGACGTTTATCTGAGACCCTCCATCTTCACCCACTCCTCCTCCTCCTCCTCCTCCTCCTCCTCCTCCTCAGATATGTCAGTGATGGAGGGTCCAGGTCCACTGTGACGGTTTCTCTGTGGAAAACAAATGGATGGATCACGTCACCTTCAGGTGCTGCAGTGATCCATCGGTTCCTCTGTGGACGTCTGATCTCGTCTCAGAGATAGGACAGACTCTTTGTTAGAGTTGTGGACTCCAGCTGTGACCTGGAGTCAGGTGATGCTCAAGGTGTTGGCTCAGGATTGTGCAGCGTAACGGAGTGATTGACTGTTAATGACGCTTTCATGATTAACTTCTGTTGAGAAGTTCATTCATTCTGAATAAATTGTCAGTGAATGAAAAAATCTGTATTTTAAATTCTACCGAAGAGACAAAAAGATCTGAAGTTGTTCGATATGCTGGGTTTGATTCTGAGTCAGCTTCTAGTCATTGTTGCCAAATAACTGAAGAGCAGAAGTTATTTGAGTTTTATGACGAATGTCTTTGGTTCGTCAGAGAAAAAGTCAAAGTGTAGAAACCAGAGGAATCAGCGTCAGATCCTTCAGACCGGTTTCGATCAGAGTCCTGCTGCGGCTCTGAATCAGGATCCACGGCTTCTGATTGGTTGCTCGTTCTTTCCATAGACAGGAAGCTTTCACCAAATATAATGTGTGAAAACTATTTTAAGAAGTGTCCCTCTCCCGCTGTACAGCCCCTCCCCCCCCCCCCCCCCCCGTCTGTGCTGCTGAAGATGGAGTAAAAAGATGTGGGAGCATGTGAAGTGTTAGTGATGCAGTTCCACTCACAGAGTTTCACCACCTTTCAGTCGCTCATCCTCTCCGTCACCTTCCTCTTTCAGAATAAAATGACCCGAAACTCCATCCACTGGTTCCGCAAGGGCCTTCGTCTCCATGACAACCCCGCGCTGCAGGAGGCGGTCCGGGGGGCGGACACGGTGCGCTGCGTTTACTTCCTGGACCCGTGGTTCGCAGGATCGTCCAACGTCGGGGTCAACAGGTGGAGGTAAGACGACCTGACTGTGGCTGTAAACAGATTTAGGTCGTGGTAATAAACAAAAGAAAATATAGATAAAATACATCATGGTTCCCAAACTGAGGGTCGTGACCCCACAACATGTGACGGATCATCAAGACGATTTGAAACAGGAAAACTTTACTTTTTCATTTTTCTCAAATTTTTATTTTAAATTATTCAAATGAAAAAAAACTACAAAAAATCCTAAATGAGGGTTTGTGATTTAAAAGCTTTTGATTTCAGAAGAAGCTTTGCCTCAGAAACAACAGCAGCAGCAGAAACAGAAGCTCAGAGCTGCAGTTCTTCAACACACAACATGATGTCAGCATTTCTCTGCTCGTGAAGCTGCGTCTGTTCTGGTGTCTGAGGGAGGCTCCTCTCTGCTCCGATGTCCTGTTCAGTCCCGGGTCAGCGTCACAGACGACAAATGAAATGCGTGTTTTTATCAGGTGGAATAAATGAGACAGTCTGGACCTGCTGGCTCCGCCACAGGAAGCCCTCTTGTTTCAGTGCGCTCATATAAATGATAAAGATCAGACGCAGGTAGAGCTCAGTGATTGGAGGAGTCGGTCACAGCTGGAGTTTCTGAGCGGGGGCAGTTATATATATATATATATATATTCTGGGATTAAGTGTGTTTCATGTGAGTACATGTGAGTGAGTACATGTGAGTGAGTTTGTGAAGCGTTGTATCGCTCCACTGGGCCGTTCTTTATTTTGCTCTTTAGAGCCGTTTGTCGTCTTCACACAAGCTCAGTGGACAGTGAAGCCGGTGACTCAGAGACCTCCAGCTGACTGGGAGACTATAAATGTACGGAACAGAGGTGTTGCTGGCGGAGACGCTCTGCAGGAAGGAAACACACATATCTGTTTGAAAAAGCTAATTTGTAGGTCACTGGTGAAGCAGACGCACTTTGTCTTTGTCGTTTCTTCTTCATGGCAGTTTTCTGCCCGAGGCGACAGGAAGGAGGAGCAGGATGTTTGGACACGTCAATATATATAATTGATTAAAGGTCAAATAAACAACATCGTGCGCCCCCCCTGTTGGGAGGTTAGACATTATGCGGTTCAGTGTCTTGCACGAGCCGGGAATCGAACCACTGACCCTTAGATTACTGGATGAGCTCCTGAGCCACGGCCGTCCCGCAGCGCGCAGTAGATTTCACGATGTGTCCCACTCGTCAGGGCCGAGGCATCAACGTAAATCAAACACGCCTCTGTCAAACCCGTGACCCAGACAACCTGTGGTTTTCTGCAGAGGCTGAAAAGCTTCAAACACAAGAACTAAGAGGTTTTATTTTCATGTTCATGTGAGAACATTGCTTTGAAAGATGATTTGGACAGTTTGGGAGTCAGTCCCGTGTCTGGACACACGACGCAGCAGGTCAGCAGATGTCTGCAGCGTTAATAGCCACCACGCTAACACCTGCAGATCTGTATCTGGTGCACTCATCCCATTAGCTCCGTTATTTTTACCTGAAACTTGGACTGAAAATGTCTCGCAGGTCTGTGGTTCTGGGATTAAACTGATCCAGGGACAATTGTAATCGTATCAATGGAAGGCTTATAAAGTTCAGTTCTTATTGTCACAGAGACGCCGGTCAGCGAGCCGCCGGTCAGCGAGCCGCCACATTTGCTCTCGGTCGGTACGTCCAGACGAGCGGGTCAACTCTAAATCCGCTGTATCTCTGACACACATCTTTATCCCTCAGATATTATAGTGTCGCTGTAAATAATCCTCCGGTGTTACTGCAGCCCTCGTGAATCTGCACCACAGGAAACATAATCAGCCTGGATTTATTTATTTAGCTCCAGTTTCCTCCTGAAGATTAGACCAACGATTTGAAAGCAACAGGCTTTTCTTTTTTTAAAGTTGTTCCTTTAAATGATCCATTTAATTCAATCTTGCGTTTCACTGCTGCATCGCACATAAAACATTTCAGAAATCCCAAGTTTCCCTCCCTGATGAATGAAACACCGTTTATCACACATTACATTTGACGCCACGAGACGTGTTCCGACACATTCTAGAACCATTTCCTGTTTTAGAACATCTCATGTGAAGGATGATTAAAACAACCACATGCTGACAGTTGAAGGTTTGGTTACAGGAAAACAAGATCTCATCTTTATTGACGATCCTTTTCTAAAATCCTCTGACTGAAGAAAACAAATAGACGTAAACTAGATGTAGTTCTTTCTCTTAATCCTGTGACAGTCGGACCTTCTAGTTTAACGTGGTGAGAACGTTTCATTCTGGATGAAGCTGATTTTTCCAACTTCTCTCTGCTGTGAAGTTTGAAATAAGAGAATGGAGATCATATCATTTTCCATTTGCACAACCTGTTGAACTCTTTATTAGTGCTCTCAGTGGATGTGGCACAGTGAGCAGGCAGGAGACGGACGACGGACGAGGAGATGAGTTGAAGAGCTGCGGCTCTGGATCATCGATTGTTTTGTTTTTTCATCTGGTGGAAAATGTGAGAAGGAGATGTAGGTTAGTGTGCCAGTGAAACTTCTGAGCAGTTATGTGATCCTGACCTACTTGTGAGGAGGCTCTTCCTCGTGGCCTGAGCACCGCGGAAAACCCCGGAGGTGAAACACTAGAGATATTTAACTGAATGAAGATTTCTGGCTTTGATTGAAGTTTGATATAATAAGATGTTTGAGAGCTGAAGAGAAATGTTGTCCTGTTGTTGCAGTGAAACCAGGAGACGATCACTGAAGCTGGTAAATCTGCGAACACTTTTTAAACCTGGGAGTCGACCGACGCTCTTCTTTGACTCGGAGAAACGTTCGACTCGCCTGAAGAGAAATGAGTCGAACCGTAAGCAGAGTGCGGAAATACGGAAGATTGAGCGTTTATTTAGTCTCAAGTTTCACCAGCACAAAAACCGTACTTGTGATAAGAGTTCGAATAAAATGACAGAAACATCTGTGACACACATTTACTGAACGTCTACTTGGTTGGTTTGGTTCATGTCCCATCTGCTAACGTAGAGGGGGAGGAGTTTGTGACGCTAACATCACAGATCCGTGCTGCAAAGTCCAACATCTCACATGTCGTGTAGCTCCTGCTCGTCAGTGACCCTGGAGGCTGAGTGCAAACAGCTTCCATCAAGACATTTAAAGCCACTGAACACGTCAGACAAAGATGAACACCCAGAACAGTCCGGTCTTTAGTTCACAGTTCACTTCATCGACGGCAGGTTGTTGTGTTCAGTTGTGAATATCTGTGACACACAAGTGATTCTTGGGTTCTTCACACAAAGACGTCAGGAATCATTTATTATACGTTTTTTTCTACAATGATTGTTCGCCCACTGAGAGAGTGAGAGAGGAAAATAATGAGTGTGTGTGTGTGTGTGTGTGTGTGTGCACGTGTGTGCACGCACGGCCAGAAATGAGGTTACTGGGCTAGGATTGTGTTGTTGTGCGGTCGAAGCTCAGTGTGTGTGTTCAAAGAGATGTAGGCCAGTTATATAAGGGTCGAGGCAGCCAACGCACGCGCACGCACGTACGCA